AAGTTTGCTTGACAGAAACTTTACATATTAAATCACAAGGCATAAAGAATGATATTAATCAATTCAAGGCACAATCTGAAGGTTTTCCACTGAAGCACTTGGCACTACTAAAGAAAGGGCCTTTTGAGTCGGTTTTTTGAGTCGGCAAATTTTACCGTCGCAAAAGGTAGCCTTTTTGAGACGGCACAGAGTTACCGACTCAAATACCAAACCTTTAGCGTCGGCACTGTTGGCCGACACAAAAAATTAATATTTGATAGCATTATTTGAGTCGGTTGAATTTACTGACGCAAAAGATAGACCTTTTGAGTCGGCATAGACCTTTTACGTCGGCAAATTTGTGCCGACGCAAAAAATTAGACCTTTTTGTGTCGGCAATTGATGCCGTAGCAAAAAAAAAATTTATAGCCAAGATATATATATATTTACTTGATTATATTTAATAAATATATTTATTTATACATATACTTTTATATTAATATTGAGTGTATATACTATAAATAATATATATCTCATTTAATATCTGAAAGAGGTATGGTGGTCAAGTGGACTTAGTGCGGTGACTTCGGGTCAAATTGTCCAAATGGAGTGTGTTCAAAACTTGGGAGCCTCAATGAGAAAATTGTGGGTTAAATTTTTTTAAAACATTTAATCACTTTTTGAGTCGGCAATCTACCGTCTCAAAAAATTAAAACTTTTTGTGTCGGCAGATTGCCGACTCAAAAACTTTTTGCGACCCCACCATTTTCGTCCCTTGAGTTGCCGTCGAAACGCCGTCGCAAAAAGTTTTTGCGTCGGCAAATACGCTATTTGCGACGGCACGCTGCCGACTCAAAAGCCTTATTTTCTAGTAGTGTTTCTTCCTCTTCTTTCCCTGACTTGACTATATGTGCTTCCCAGCTTTTTCCTCATTCATATCATATCCAAGGAATGTTTCTATTCATTATTCTCGACCTGCAATAACTTCTCATTTCTCCAATAAAAAACAGGGTTTGGGTTTTTTATTTTTTTAATTTTTCCTGGGGCGATCCTACTGATACGCAATCAAGGACCTTCTATTCTATCTAGTAAGTTATCATCCTCTCTCACTCAAGATGACTTGTAAACTCACTTTTTTTTCTTTTTTCTTTTTTAAGTACTAAATTAACAATGTTGAATTCTATTGTAATAAACTGCAAGAGAAGAAATTATTAGAAGTGGTTGGTTTTGAATCTAATGTCTGGATGTATAAAAAGTTATGAAGATGTGGAATAATCATAAGATTTATATTTAAAATTCTATCTATCCATTTTATTCTAGGAGTCTTTCTCATCAATTTTTTCTCTTGTGAATGCAACAACTTAGGGTGGAAGTAGTAGATAATTTTTGGGAAAATTCTTGAATTTACACAGGTCTTGTAGCTGAAAGTGTTTTCTAGTCTGTCTCTCAACTTTAATGGGAAATAAATATATGGAGGGAGGAGAAACTTGACTTCAATTCTTGAATTTGTGAACCATGGTAGATTGCCCTTTAAATCTGATTGTGTGAGAGAAATTGTAGGTAAATGGGATTAAAGATATAAGATATCCCTTATTGAATAGTTCAACAATATTTTGATGCTTGTTTTATTGAACTCAGCTTAAACTCATTTTGAGAAACCAAGATATTAGAGCTTGGTTTTTTATGGGCTCGAGTAGAATCTTTCTTGAGATCATTCATGCAATAAACTAGTAAACCTCAATCTTCATTTTATATCTCGCCAATTTTTCTAATCAAGCTTGAGCAACCCCTTACGTGGTTCAGCTAGTATTGTTTTCATTGAACAATTATAACCCTATGATTCTAAGTCCCACTTCATTGCTAACTGATCGAGAATTGACTGATGGATTGTCTCATAAACATTCTTGACAATGGCAACAATTTTACTCACTCAGATATCTCTTGTTCTAATGGAAAAATGATGATGTAGAATATTGTGAGATTTCACCAACAATGTACGACAAGTAACTTGAATATGGACTTTAATTGTTCTGTATTGAAATGGTGAGTAATTAAATTAGCTTGGTTTTTTGAATGGAAAGTTTAAATTGCTGAACGTTAAATTAAAAAGTCTCAAACTTTGATTATTCTACCAAAGTCATTACATTTTAAGAACAATGATGAAAAGAAACATTTTTGCTTTTTTATGTTCTGTATGTAACTATTGAGAGCAATGTTTTACAAAGTGGCCGCAACCGTTACGTAACGCCGTTACGTAACGGTTGTGGTAGTTACCGCCACCCGTTACGGCCGCTTTTGCAGTGTGATTGAGATTCACAGGTGTGTCAGCTGTAGCGGCTGCTATAGCGGTCGTAATGGTGCCGTAATGACCTGTTATGCATTATTGCATAAACGGTTCCGAATTGCCTCTTTCGAAAAAATGCAAAAAAAAAAAAATTGAAAATAGGGGAAGAGAGATAGAGAGAGAAGAGGGAAAATAAACATGTTATTGATTTGTTGAAACTGTAAGATCTATGCTATTCTATTCAGCTACTATCATTCAACCATTTTGTTTGTGTGTGTCTATCTATATATTGTTTGAAAATAATAATAATCATAATAATAAGTGTGGTCATTATCTATTTGGCTTGATTAATATATATATATATATATATATTTAGGCTTTTATTTATTTTCTTACTTTTGTCATTGTTTATCTTATATATAATAGTTAGTGATTGATTTTTTGTATAATATAAAGTCATTAATTATTAAAATAAAATGTAAAAAATTCAGTTTATAGTGATTTAAAAATATGAAATATATTAGATCAAACTTTAAAATTTATAAAAATTGATCAATATTTATTTTAAAACCCAATAAATATGATTATGGAAAAAAAATGTGCGTATTGATAAGTTTTTTTCAAATTGTGTGAAAAATAAAAAAATTCACGGTTCCGGTTATCGCAACCGTTACACTACGATCTTTACACCCTGCAACCGCAACCACGCCACCGCCACCGTTACGGCGACCGCAACCACTTTTCAGAACCTTGATTGAGAGTGAAGATATTATACATAATGTAAACATTCCATTGAAAAGTTTTTGTTTCATTGGAACCCATATTGTCACTAGCATTTGTTTAAAAATGGGATAACATGCTCGATAAGTCAAGAGTTCAAACATCACTAGTGTTTCTTCATAGGAACATCCACGAATTTGATCGATTGTTACATGCTTGGTACTCAATATAGTTGGAATAAAAACATTAATAGCTTCATTGACAGTTATCTTTATTCCCAAATGTTATTATCCAAAGTTGAAAGAGTTCTCCACATAACTAATGGAAATCATGATAGATCATGGAACCAATTGACAAAGTTTCTTTTGTTTCGTTTTACATTCATAATACCATCACCTAATAGGTATGACATTTATAAGAAATAAGTCTCTTCTCTCTCTCTCTCTGTTTTATTTTTTTCTATTTTCCCGAAGCTTCATTTAGTGTTAATGAAAGTAATGCCCATAATGAAATGGTCCTGTAGGTGTTTGCCCATTTCAATTTTAGATGAGCCAAAGTTCAGTTATGCATCAAAATATCTAATTCTTGATTCATAGGGATCTAAGAGTTGGTGGGGACATTGACCACCTTGAGCAAGCATCATATAATCATATTTGATTTTTGGGCATTGGAATTCAATTTGAACAAGTTCTTTGTGATTTGTTTGGAACAGGGTATTGCTATTGCTTTTTAAGTAAACATGCAACCCAGTGCTGGAGCAGATTCTGTTTCTATTACTATCGGTATTGATAAAAAGCTCACTTAAATCTCACCTTCATCATCGGAGTGTTGTATATTTAGAGTACATAAACAACTACGTGGGGTAAATGAGAAGGCCTATGAACCAGAGACTGTTGCAATAGGTCCTTACTACTGCGGTAAACATAGCCTACAGATGATGGAGGAGCATAAGTTGCGCTACTTGCAATTACTTCTTAATAGAAAAAATGAGAGTGATGCAGATAGATACGTCACTGTTATTGTATCGCTAGAACAAGAAGCACGTAGATGTTATGCTGAACCAATAAGCCTTTGTGCAAATGAAATGATTGAAATGATGGTATTGGATGGTTGCTTTATCATTGAATTGATGCGAAAGTTTGAGATGGCATACTTGAGAGCTATGAAGCACGGACACGTCCCTGAGGCTTGCGTATTAGTGTCGGACACGTGTCGAACACGGACACGCGTACGACACGCTGTTGACACGTGTCTGACACTCTCCCCTGCGTGTCCCCCTTTTTTCAGAATTTTTCAGAGTCGGACACGAGGTTGGACACGCGAGGACACAATTCAGACACGCAGGTGGGTGGATCGAAGAAGCCCTAGAACTGTTGGAGAGGAGAAAGAGAGAGAGCCAGAGACAGAGACAGATTGAGGGAAGAGAGAGAGAGAGGGAGATAGGTCGAGGGAAGACAGAGACAGATTGAGGACAGAGAGAAGAAACCCTAACCTGTTCGTCTTCCTCGTCTTCCTCGTCTCCCTCTCTGCGCATCGTTTGACCCTCTCTGCTCTCTTTCTCTCTCTCTCGCTAAAATTTTCGACGCAACGATAGCTATATACGTTATATACTAACAATATATATACATATATATATATATATATTTATATACTAATAATAAATTATATACTAATAATAAATAATATAAATAAATAAATAATATAACCCCTAACCTTTCTTTTGGTCTTAAATAATATAAATAAATACAAATAATATATTTATTTTTTAATTTTACATATAATAAATAAAATTAGTATATATTTTTTAATTTTGCATATAATAAATAAAATAAATAAATAAAAATAAATACAAAAAGTATATATTTTCTAATTTTACATATAATATATAAATAAAATTACATATATTAAACGTGTTCCCAACGTGTCGTGTCCCTCATTTTTTGAAAAATTGCGTGTCCGCGTGTCCGTGTCGTGTCAGTATCGTGTCCCGTGTCCGTGTCCGTGCTACTTAGCTTGAGAGACAAGAATGATTCTATTTTTCAAATGGATTGGATTGTTAGTAGCTTGCAGCGCGATTTAATGCTATTTGAAAACCAGTTACCATTTTTTATGCTCCGTAAGTTATTTGACATGATCGAGGTTCCAAACCAACATAACAGGCTCATTTATCTTGCCTTGTGTTTTTTTCGTGATCTTTTACCTGGCCCCGGTTATAGAGAACGTATGGATGGAAACTCACACTTCAATATCAGGCATTTACTTGGGTTGATTCACAATAATTGGTTTCCTTCATTTGCAGGGATTGTTCCCAACGGAGATGGCTCAAATAAAAAAGGGAATTGGCGTTTCATTCCTAATACCATAGAGCTTCAAGAAGCTGGAGTCCAACTAGTGAAGATTGAAGGAGCTAGTTTATTTGATATCAAATTCGAATATGGGGTAATGAAGATTCCACCTTTAACCATTGAAGACAGGACTGAGTCATTCTTCAGAAACCTCATTGCGTACGAGCAATATTGTCCAGATAATCTACTCACTTATATTACCGATTATGTGGGATTCATGGATTGCCTCATCTACTCTCCAAAAGATGTTGAAATACTCTCTCGCCGTGGAATCATTGATAATTGGTTAGGCGACGATGAAGTGGTTTCCACAATATTTAACAAGATCAGTGACGCAGTAACAGGGCCTACCAGCTATTTCCAGTATGCTGATATTGTCAACCGGGTGAACATACATTGCGGCAAACGTAGGAATCAGTGGATGGCGAAGTTGAACCGGAACTATTTAAATAGCCCATGGGCATTTATTTCGATTCTGGCTGCTTTGGCACTACTACTACTCACTTTTACACAAACTGTGTTTACTGTTTTTCCTCGCAAATAATTATTGTGTATCTTTCTTTCTCAAATCTGCTTTAGCTTTTTTGCTGTCTTCTGTCTTTATTTTTTTCCCTCTTGTATTACTTTTCTCTGTAAAAACATGTAAAAGGAAAAAAAATAAAAATTATGAAGGGTGAGGTGAAGATGGAGATGGTTACAAATTCATTTATGCATTTGCATTGCATGTTTTACTTGTTATAGGTAAGAAAATGACATGGCTTATGGAATGTGGATTGCAAGAAGAAGAAACAAAGTTAATGCTTTGAAAACACCTCCATATTTTTGTAACAGTATATCATTATTAGGTTCAACTTTTGTCTGTTTTAAAGGCTTATTTTGATGGAGTATGTTCTACCCTCCTTGGTTTCTTTGGTTGTGTGGCTGATGGCAATTTGCTTTCATAATACTATTTTACCCATCTTAAAAAAAGAGGAGCTTATTTTGATAAATAAATGAAAAGGAAAAGGTATGATATGCATTTTTACATGTCCAAATTAAAATAAATAAATAGAGGCATAGACACTTTATAGCTGACACCCTTTTTTAAAAGCAAAATAACACTACATGGTTTTTAAATTCTAATGTACTTATGTCTAGGTGCAAATTTAATAGTGTTCACTCATTTTCAATATAACATTGCGACGATGCCACTACATATAATAATTAAAATTTAATTAATTAAGGAGATCTGAATTTAAATTGTTCATTATTTTGATTTAATTTGAGATTTATAAAAATTATTGAGTCTGATTCGTAAATGGTTTTATTAAGGATTTATTTTGGAATTAGAAATTGAACATCCAAATGGCCTAAGGAAGTGAAATTGATGAGTTGAATCAGTTTAATTTCAAGAATTTGACCACATTAGAGTTTAATTAAATATTCGATTCGGTTTCGATTCAGTTTAATTGGGTCCAAATTGGAATTAATTAAGCTAATGTGATTATAAAGGTTATGAATTGTAATTATTATGAATTAAATTTACTTATGAGGTGTTGGATTCGAATATGTAAATTATTGATAAAGATTTTGAGTTTGATTTGAAATTGAAAGCCTTAAAGATTTGGAAAACTAAAATTAATGATGGTAATAAGTTTAATTTCATATTTGGAGTCTCTTAAGTGGGATTAAAAATTTGATTCAGATTGATAAATTTAAATATAATTGATTGGGTTCTAATGAAATTCAAATTAGACTAATTAAATTATGTGGGATCTGTGATTGGTTATAATTAATTTAATTATGTGCAAATCAAGATTAAGTAAGATTAAATGATGTTTGGTTAAATTAAAATATAATTAATATACTAAGTTATTCCTAATCAAATTATAATTCAAGTGAAGTGTTAGAATCCTCTAGAACCTTGGAGGCAACAAGTACATATGTGTATTTATGTGTACTGGAGAAGAATTAAAAGAAGAACAGAAAATCTAAAGGAAAGAAAGAGAGGACCGAGAGAGAGAGAGAGAGAGAGAGAGAGAGAGAGAGCTGCTGGACAACAAAAAAAAAAGGGGAAGAAGAAATTGAAGAACTCAAGGTAGAATAACAAAGAAAGGAAAGGAAACTTAAGAATTTCAACCAACTAAAATTTAAGATATGGAATTTATGTTCAATTTGTGTAGAATCTTCACATTATACTTGAAATTAAAAATGGGTTTGAAATCAACATCATGTAATTGGAAGAAATTAAGACTAAATTGAAGGGTATGAACTAGATTAATAAACATGAAAAATAATTTTAAGATTTCATTAAATTGAGTTTGATTTTGAAAACCTTGATTTTTTTATTTTTTTTTTTTATCAGAAAGAAATGTTCATTCCTCAAGCCAAACGGCAATTACAAAAGGAAACCATCCAAAAAATTAGTTTACACCAAGCAAAGAAAATCATATCAAATAAACACGCAGGTATAAAATTATGAAAATCTCAAACACACACCAAGTGCTCGTGCTCGTATTGCAAGCAGAAACCAAAAAGATCGGCTATAGAGCATGTCTAAGATAGGTCATAGATTACACCACAGAGTGGTAAGCTGCAGAATAGCATCAATGGATTCCATATAGCACTCAAACTAAAAACCAAAGAAAAGTTGGAGCCTACAACCTCAAACCCGGAGGAACCGTTGGATCGAGAGAGGCAACCAGATCCAAAGCAGATTTGGCTGTGGGAAGGTGATGAAGAGACGGTGAGCAGCGGAGAAGAAGAGCATGGTAGATCTGGCACCGGTGGGAGGAGGAGCAACCCAGCAAACTTCCACCAAGGGGAAAGAAAATCCTCACAAAAAGGTTAGGAACAGAGATCTCCCAAGGTTTATTGAGCAGAGAACAAGAAGGAAAAGAAAAGGGGGGAGAGAGGAGAGGGGGTGGCTGGAGGCCGAAGCCCCCTCTCCCTCCCAAACGGCGCCGCTGGTTGAAACCCTAAGGGAAGAGGCTAGAGAGAGATGCTCTCGTTTTTAGAGAGAGAGAGTGCTTATTCAGTCAATGAGAGACTATTTTGAAAACCTTGATGTAATTGGGTTTTATATTTATATACATCATGAATTTTGAAAATTTTGAGTAAATCAATTTCATATTTTGAAGATAAAAAGAAAAAATTTTATAAACATTAAAGTTCATGGGGATCTAGAATTAATCTTGAAGTTAAATAGGGTTTTTGATTTGTTTTGAAAACTAAGAAATGGTTGGATGTTAATCCTTAACCCATGCATGTAATGCAATTTAAGAATTTTAATTCATATTTTAAAGTTTATGAGTTTTGAGATTGAGTTTTGATATAAATCAAGAAGTCAAATTATGGTTTAAGCTTGATAATGAAGAATTGGTTGGACTTTGATACATGCAAATGACTTTCTAAGGAGATTATAGCTTTAATTTCATGTTTTGAAAAAGAAGAACTAACTTTTGGGAAATCTATCTATATAAGGGAAAGGCCACAAGTCTTGTGGGAGTTTTACTATCTCGATCTTAATTTTCTAATTTTATGATTTAAAAAGAAAAAACTCAGCATTTATTGACTTATTTTAACCCACAAGCCTTTTTGACTTCCCCATACCTACTGCTATAAATTCATATTAAATCTATATATCTACATATTATATAAGTAAAAAGGGATTTCTAACTACAAATCTTGTGGGAGTTTCAATATCTCAAACTAAAATCTCAAATTTTTTGATTTAAAATAATTAAAAAAAATCCTCTATAGCTCTCATTCAAGCAAAATAAATAAATAAATAAATAAAAAATCAATATCTCTTGATTTATGACTTTCAAATGGAAAATATATCAAATATATAAAATAAAAAATAGAAAATATACTAATTCATTTCAAAATTCAAATTTGAGGAGCACTAAATATGAAAAACATTCAATTAATTTAAATTTACAATTATAATAATTTATCTCATAATATATAAGTTTTAAATAATGATCTATTCCATAATTTATCTATATATCTATATATTATTATAATTGTAAAATATTGTCATGTCATTAAAGTTGAAAGTTGTAATTTTTTTTTTCTCATTTTTTTTATTTTGTTTAATTTTTTGTTAATACGTGTTACAATATGATTGGTTTATAAATTAATTTTATATTCTTAAAATAAAATTTCAAATTTGGATTCTTACTTAAATTATGTTACTATAATTGAAATGAAATCAATATTCATTCCTTAAATTTTTCATCATTTATTAAATCATATAATAAAATTTCAAATTTAAATTCTTCTTCAAATTATATTACAGCAATTAGAATGAGATCAATATTCACGTGTCATAATGATGTATCATAATATTATTGGTCTAAATATAATTTATTTTAAATATATATGTTCAAATTATTAATCGCTATTAATGTAACGCCCCGAAATATTTCAACATGAACTACTCATACTAATGAACATTAACTAATCAATGACAATAATCCCTCCAACATCACATATATAATTACAATAATGACCCGGACCCCCATTTTTTCCCATCCCCTTGACCCCTCTTCACCTGAATGGCCAATTTTTTTTTTTTTTTACCTTCTCCTCCATCACCACCCGCCACGTGTGTGTGGGGGGTGGTGATTGGAAGGGGTCTCAATCATGACCCATTAATGGATTAAATACAAAATTTTCACTTGCGATTTACATTCACAACATAACGAATACATGAATCTATAACATGTGAAGCATCTAATCTCAAAAACAAATAAAATGCCCTTAAGGGCTTACATCTTCCAAGGCAATAGCCCGGTTACACAAAATGGTCTCTTGGACCCATACACATTAGCCCTTGGCTTTACAAAAAGATCATAACAAAATAAGAGCTATGCACTCTTTACAATTATCTGCGCCCTCAACTTGGCGGGATCACCACGTCTTTGCCTGCACCAAAATCCCATAGGATGAGCATAAAGCCCAGTAGAGAATTCTAACAAAGTATATACGGTTATGCAATTCTTAATAAAAATAATGCATATGCCAATGCTATGCCATGCTCTTTTAAAGAAATTTCATTTCATGCTTTTCTTAAAGATTTCCATTTTTCAACAAAGCTTGCAATCTCAACACATTTCATAAACTTTCAATTTTAATCAACAGGGGCGGTAAATATGACACTGGTAATCCCTAGGCTGGTGTTTGCAAGTAGACTCTGCGAGTACTACCAAACTGTCATTTTTACTGGGATTAACTGGAAGGCTCGACACCTATCCGCGCGGTTTTCTGGTCATTCACCATGGACACTTAGGCCAACTTAACAAAATTCATCTACACCCCTTGTGACAACCCTCACTACTGTTTATAGATAAAACCACTGATTACTGCTAAACTGAGACTGATCATGATAAGTAATTGAATTGGTTGAAATTCTGAGCTAATTGATTGAGTGTGTTAGTTTAAATGCATGTCTATCTGTTTGACTGTTAAATGATCTGTTCATATGTTATGTTTTAAACTGTAAATTGAAGGCCTTATCGGCGGCCGAATCTGAAAATGATTAGTGTTATGTGTTGACTAGAATTTATGTGATTTTATGGTAGATTTAATTGAAATGTGATTTGGTATGATTAAATTAGATTAAATAAAGTTAAAATACATCAACTTGACTTAATTGCATTTTTGCCACTTAGTGGACAATCCTAGACCTACACTCCTTATACCTCATACATGTTGGTACAACAT